GCTGGCCATCCGAGGCCACGAGAGGCGGGAGGGCGGAGTCCTGGCCATCTTGGTGAAGGAGTGGCTGGCGGGAGGGCGAGAACCTGCACTGGAGCCTGGGAATGTGGCTCGTCCCAAGTGGTGGCAAGGAAGTGGGGACGTTGGACTTGCGGGAACTGGGTGTGGCCGCTGTGGGAACAAGTTAGAGAATGACCGTGCGTCCTGCAGCTCCACTCCTAGCTTATTTCCCGGGTGGTGGAGAGCAGGGTTCTCTGATCTTGCACACCCGCGTTCACAGCAGCCAGAGATGGGCAGGTGCACGTGTCCTCCGACACATGGGGCAGGCCCCAGGGTGGACCGTTATTCAGCCCTGACACGGAGCAGAGGAGCAGAGTCTTGATTCACACAGCAGTGTAGACGAGACACACTCTACACTGGAGATAGCGTGCTGCATCCCAGGATGCACGTGGCTCATCGCACTGACACCAAGCCCCTGGAATCACACATCGCAGAGACACCAAGTCCCTGGAATCACACATCGCAGAGACACCAAACCCCTGGAATCACACATCGCACTGACCCCAAGCCCCTGGAATCACGCATCGCAGAGACACCAAGCCCCTGGAATCACGCATCGCACTGACACCAAGCCCCTGGAATCACGCATCGCAGAGACACCAAACCCCTGGAATCACGCATCGCAGAGACACCAAGCCCCTGGAATCACGCATCGCAGAGACACCAAGCCCCTGGAATCACGCATCGCACTGACACCAAGCCCCTGGAATCACGCATCGCACTGACACCAAGTCCCTGGAATCACGCATCGCACTGACACCAAGCCCCTGGAATCACACATCGCAGAGACACCAAGCCCCTGGAATCACGCATCGCACTGACACCAAGCCCCTGGAATCATGCATCGCAGAGACACCAAACCCCTGGAATCACGCATCGCAGAGACACCAAGCCCCTGGAATCACGCATCGCAGAGACACCAAGTCCCTGGAATCACGCATCGCAGAGACACCAAACCCCTGGAATCACACATCGCAGAGACACCAAGCCCCTGGAATCACGCATCGCAGAGACACCAAACCCCTGGAATCACGCATCACACTGACACCAAGCCCCTGGAATGACACAGCGCAGAGGCACCAAGCCCCTGGAATCACGCATCGCAGAGACAAAGCAGCCTAGGAGGGTGCCTGGCTGAAGGAGCAACCGTTCAGTGAGCATGGTGCTCGTGGTGGGGTACAGGGAGTACTACGGAGGAATGATGAATGCGGAAAGATCCTCCTTCGTATTTGTGACATGGAAGCCACCGTGAGCATTTGTAGTGCAGCCAAAAAGACGCAAGTCAGATGGCGGAGGATTTGGAGGGCACTCACAGACGTTTCTGGACCAGGGACCAAGTCTGGCTTTGTACCTGTTCTCACAAGTAAAGTTTTATTAAAATGCATCCATTGCTATGTGTTTTGCCTATGCCTGTTCATGTAAATAAAGTTTTATTGGAACGTAGCTGTGGCCATCCATGTATGGTGCCTGTGCCTGATCTTATAAAGTTTTATTGGAACACACCATGGCCGTCCATGTATGGTGCCTGTGCCTGTTCTTATAAAGTTTTATTGGAACATAGCTGTGGCCGTCCATGTTTGGTGCCTGTGCCTGATCTTATAAAGTTTTATTGGAACACACCATGGCCATCCATGTATGGTGCCTGTGCCTGTTCTTATAAAGTTTTATTGGAACATACCATGGCCATCCATGTATGGTGCCTGTGCCTGTTCTTATAAAGTTTTATTGGAACACACCATGGCCGTTCATGTATGGTGCCTGTGCCTGTTCTTATAAAGTTTTATTGGAACATAGCTGTGGCCGTCCATGTATGGTGCCTGTGCCTGTTCTTATAAAGTTTTATTGGAACACACCATGGCCGTCCTGAGCATTGCCTGTGGCTGCCCTTGTACCACAAGGTCAGAGTTGTGTCTCTGCCACAGTAGCCTGTGGCCTGCAGAACTGAAAACATGCACCACCGGCCCTTTGCAGAGACCCCCAGCCCCTGCCTGGACGGCAGCCCAGTCTTCTGAGAGTGCTGGTTTGTGAAGTCATTCCCCGGGGGCTGCATTGTGGCTCAGTGGGTTAGACCACCGTTTGCAACACCAGCCTCCCGTATCAGAGCGCTGGTTCCCGTGCCCTCTGCTCGGCTTCCAGTCCAGCTTCCTGCTAATAAACCTGGGAAGGCTGCAGAAGGTGGCCCAAGTGCTTGGGTCCCTGCCACCCACGCAGGAGCCCCTGGCGGAATTCCAGGCTCTTGGCATCAGCCTGGCCTAGCCCCAGCTGTTGCAGCCATTTGGGAAAGAGCAAACGATGGAAGATTCTCTCTCTCTCTGTCTTTCTAATAAATAAAGATAAATACGTTTAAAGAGAATGTTGAGTTTTCAGGGCAGTAGACAGAGGGCTCGTTCAGCTGAGCAGCGTGCAGACCCTGTGCTGGGCAGTGGTGACGATGAGGGAGGGAGGAAGGCGAGGGAGAGAAGAAGCCCCCTCCCTCCTTTCCTTCTCTGACGGGAGACCTTGTCCTCGCCACCCCTTCCTCCTCGCCCAGCCAGAAGACGGGACTGCAGCTCCCGCCCGCAAACACCAGCAGCCAGTGAATTGCCGTGTGGCTGCAGACTGCTCGTGGCTGTAACGTCCCCTCGTTACTTCGGGGAAATGCTCATAACCTGAGGCTTGGCGAGTCTGATTAATTCCCTCTCTGGGACGGAGTGCCGATGTTTGTTTGAGATCAAAGAGGAGGCCTGTATCTTTGTAGCAGTCGCCCTGTGCTGCACACTCTGCTGGTGTTCTGTGTGCACGTGACCTCACTGATAATCCGGGCGCTCCCCTTTTGAAGGGGAAGAGCATCTGGGGCCCACGGGGGTGAAGACTCACCCTGAGTCCCGCCCTGGGGTTTGAACCGACGCCTGCCTGATTGCAGGACCCTGCTGTGTCCACGGCAGCCTCGGTGCCTGCACCCTGACCCATCCCCTGGGAGTGGCCCCAGTGGTTTCCAGGCAGAGGCTGATCATTCGGGGAATGGGGGTGTCTCAGTCCGTCCCGCACCTGACCCTGGCTTTGTCAGGGTGAGGACAGCCACTCCAGATGCTCTGTCGTGCTGGCTCCAGCTCTGGTCTCCAAACTGCCGCCCGTGCCCCTTGTGCGCCTGAGCTCCACTCTGCTGTCAAGCCGGACCTACCCAGACTCGCTCTCCGATTTCTCTACGACCACCCAGCGTTTTATTGCACTCTACCAGCAGCACGGACACCTGGGAATGCTTGTTCCCGGCTTTGCCACTCGCTTTCCCGCCATCCGCAGTCCTCCTCATGTGCGTGGGTGGGCAGGGGGACCTCAGATCCACCCACGTGGGCTCCCTTCCCCTTCCCCTTCAAGCTGCCCTGGACAATGCCACCCGCCCGTGACTGCCAAGACTTCTGCAGCCATCAGCTCAGAACGAAGAGGGCACTCAGTTCCCCCACCACCCAACCCTTGACCACGGCCCAGAGAGGGTCGGCCGCCTGCCCAGGGGTGCACAGGCCCTGGCCCAGGCAGCACCCCATCTCCCAGCTCCCAGCCTGCAGCTCGTGCTTCCTGGCCTCGGCTCGCGGCGTGGGGAGTGCGTACCTTGGAGCCCGGCTCGTGAATGAGACCAGATGCACGGCTCCCATTGATCGTTCCTGGCCCTCCCCCTTTTCTGCTTTCTGTTAAAGGCAGCCCCCCAGCTCCCAGCTGGCCGCTGTCCCCTCCCCTAGCCGGAGACGTTATTACATGAAGAGATCAGCTTACAGGCTGCTGCACAGCCCAGGCTGAGCAGGGAGCGCCGGGCAGCGCGGTGCGGGCGGGCCGGGGGAGCGGCGGTGCCTGTCGGAACTCCGGGGCTGGGCTCCCGGGACGCAAGTGCATCTGCTAGCTGTTAGCGCTTGGCAGACCGAGCACCCCTCCAGGGTGGTTCTGACTTGGGGTAATGATGTTTGTCAGCTGCCTGATCCTAACCTTGCTGCGCGCTCAGACAGCAGTCGCCGCGAGACCTGGGGGAGAGGTAAGCCCAAAGGGGGTCTCTGGTCGGAAGCTGTGCTTGTGTCGGCGGGGCGGTGCGTCTTCCCTCTGCCGTGGCATGGGGTTTTGTGGGGTGCAGAGAGCAGTGCGTGATCGCCCTTACTTCTTGGATGTGCCTTGAGCCTTTTCCTGTACAAAGGCGTCTTTCTGAAGACTCCCGTGACACCTGAAGTCTCGTGCCGTCGCCACTCCGGGGAGTCCTCGCGGCCCTGGAGACAGATGCCTGCCGCAGCTGCAAAAATGTGGCTTGTCCCATTCCTCAGAGGGACTGTCAGCCCATCAGGGTCAGGGTCTCTCCCCAGGGCTGCAGAGACACTGTGCCTGCTGCTGCCGGGGGCTTTGCCTCTCTGTCCTGCCTTTGCCCCTGCTCCAACACACTTAGAAAGATCTGCGTGTGCTCAGTGCTGTCTCGGGTTGAAGAGGGACAGTGACAGGCAGCAGGGCTGGGCGTGTGCCCAGACCCGCGTACAGAGGGCTCACGGACGGCGCGTTCTGGCTGGCTGAGCTCGCGTGTTTGCTGGATCGCCGATGCTTCCGGGAGCCTGGGAGGGGTGATCCCGGGTGTGGGAGGGGGAGGCCCCTCCATGTCCCACCCTCACCTGTGGCCCAGCTGTGACTGCCTCGCGGCCTCCCTTCGACGGGAGGTCTTAGACTGTGACGCCCAAATCCATCTCCCTCTCTGAAAAGCCCAGTGAAAAGTGTTATCGCCTCCAAAGGCCACGGAGGCCACTTCACAGCTGTGCCTTTTGTTGGGCTCAGGGACCCTGTGGGCTCTGAGGCCAGACGCCAGTGGCTGTCCCTTTTCAGGGACAAGGAGGGCAGGGGGACAGCCAGGGGTCGCCACGGCCAACGCTGCGAGGCTGGCTGAGGTTCCCCACAGCCGTGTCCCAGACGCGCCTGCAGCCAGGGGCTGGGCGGGCTGCAGGTTGTCGCCCTTGGCGACCGCGTGGTCGTCTGCTCCGCCGAGGCTTTCTGGGCCGGGAGCAGGGAGCTGTGGACCCTGAGCGGCTGATGGGTGGCTGCTGCTGGCCGCGGAAAGTGGGCCACTGCCCCCTAGCTGTGGCCACGGTTCACAGCTTCCCTGGTGATTTCCTGCTGTGAGAATGACAAATGGGCTGACCTCGACCTCCCTCAGCAGGGAGCACTTGAGCAGGCGAGGGGCGGGCTCCGGCGCGTGGTGTGGGGGGCCCCGTGCTGAGCAGAGCCTCCAGCCGCTGTGGAACGTGGGTGCCCCAGCATGTGTTACGTGCACCCTGCTGCACCTGGCCGTCAGCAGAGCAGTGGAGACACAGAAGGGGGCTGACGGGGCTCACACACAGCCCCCCCCAGGGTTGCAGCCTGTGTGTGGCAGCCGTGGAGATGCCTGCTCCGCCGTGCTCCCCCCGGGCTGCCTGCGACTCCTTTCTTCTCTCTGGCCCTCCGCCTGTGTGCATGTGTGTGTGTGTGTATGTGTGTGTGTGTGCACATGCCCGCGGCTCCTCTCTTCTCTCTGGCCCTCCGCCTGTGTGCGTGTGTGTGTGTGTGTGTGTGTGTGTGCACATGCCCGCGGCTCCTGAATGGCCCCTGCCCCTGGGGAATTGTACAAGGACACTTCTCCCTGCTGCTGGAAATGCGGTGATGGGGGAGGGAGCGGCCCCCTCCCTCCCTAAAAAGAGCGTGGGTTATGCAGAGTGCTGAAGAATGTGGTGTTTATTTGTTATAGGAGCTCCGTTTTTTGCGGCTGTGTGGCTTGCTAAACTCACCCGTACTCAGAGAGCGTCACCCTCGGTCACTATAGCTTTCTGGCCTCCTCCCGCATGCTCTCCCGCAGGTTTTAATCATCGTGCCTTTGCAAAGGAAGGGAGGCTCCGTGCACCCAGGGTGCTCGGCTGCCTGTGTCCTTGGGTGGGAGCAGCAGTTCACAGAGCAGGTTTCTGGGGTGCAGGCTCCTTGCAGAGGTGTATGGGCCAGCAGGTGGCCAGGGGCACTGTGAGAAGCCCAAGCTGTGGACACACAGCCCAACTGCCTCGTGTTCATTGTCTGACTGCCAGAACCCTAAACCAAGACACCCTGCAGTCCTGGGAGGCCTCTGACTTGGCGGGGTTAGGACCCCCCACACCCCACGTGCACTGGCACAGGTAGATGCATCCTGGAGAGGCGGAAAGGATATGAAGTTAGTTTGGACTGAGGGTGCACTTGTTGGCGTGGGCAGGGTGTCAGGCGCCGGTTTCTTTGCAAGATGCAGCAGACAGGAGGGCGGAAGGGGGGTTGCGTTTTCCACTCTGAACGTGGAGCTCAGCTTGTCACACAGGACCCAGCTGTTGTGTATTGGTGGGGGTGCAGGAGGGAAGTGCAAGAGGGCCAGCTGGGGACCACGGAGCCCCCCGAGAAAGGATCCACGGACCCCCCGAGAAAGGATCCACGGAGCCCCCCAAGAAAGGATTCACGAGCCCTCCGAGAAAGGATCCACAGAGCCCCCGAGAAAGGATCCACGGACCCCCCGAGAAAGGATCCACGGAGCCCCCTGAGAAAGGATCCCCGGACCCCCTGAGAAAGGATCCACGGACCCCCGAGAAAGGATCCAGGACCCCCCGAGAAAGGATCCACGAGCCCCCCGAGAAAGGATCAGCGTGGTGTTTCTTTGATTCTGATGGGGCAGTGGGGCAGGACTCGGTGCGTTGGCTGCTGAATCCCAGGCTTTATCAGAGTGCGTTTTGTGTGCGGCTCCAGCCTCGGTTCAGTGCGGTCAGAGGCGCCTCTGGGCACCACCGTTCTGAAGTGTGACCTGCTCAGGAGCCGCTAGCGGCAGCTGGGCTGCTCCCCAGGTGCCTGCTGATAAGGGTGGCTCTGCAGGTGCTCAGGAAGGGCCAGCAGGTGCCTGGGGAGTGGGACAAGTGAGGGGCGGAGCCTGTGTGGAGCCCGTGTGGAGCGCTGCCCCCTGTAGAACGCAGTGGCGAATTCCGGGTACATCACTGGGGAGGGGCGTGAGAAAGACGTGGAGGAGGAAGGGGTGGAGGGGTGGGGCAGGTGCTGCCAACCAGGGGATCGTGTTAGAGGCTTAGGGCCTGGGACCCCGAGGCACCCTGTAGCAATGTTCCAGGCACCCAGAAGGAAAGCGGGTGTCAGGAGAGACCCTCTCCAAGGCCATGTCCTGGACCTGTGTGAAGGAGAGCAGTTGGGCCTACATGTTGACCTATCCGGTGAAAGACGGAGGAGGCCGTTCCAGGCAGAGAGAGAACATCTCCAGGGCCCCGGAAGGAAGGGAGGACGCGGCATGTTCCCGAAACAAGGCCTGGCCGGGCTGACGGAGGCACACAGGCGGGGGCGTGGCCCCTGGGCCCAGCTTTCCTCCGTGACTCTCGAAGTTCTGGAGATTCCGTGTCTACGGCCACAGGTGGTCTTTGTGTGACTTCTTCCTGTAACCTGGTAGCGAAGCTGGTTGGATGTGGTAAGGCTAAGATGGCTCAGGGGTGAGTGTGGAGCTGCCAGGCCGGTCGTGGGAGCCCCGGGAGGTGCAGATGCGGGGAGGGGCGGGCTCACTCAGCCCCTCCTCCTGTCCCCCTCTCTGACACGGGGTGTAAGAAGCCAGCGGTGGGACCCCCAGCTCACGATGCAAGACCTGGAGTCTCCGGCCTGCCACGTTGCCCCGTGCGACTTTGGCTGCTGCTGTGTGACTCTGTGCCGACGACGGCTGTGGTGAAAACAAATTCAAGCCGGAAACCGAGAGAACAGAGAAGTCTGTCTTTCCCCTGACTCCCTCCCCCATGCAGCCCAGTAGCAGGTTAGCATCTGTCCTGGACCGTCCCTGCATGCCGGCCAACACGGCGAGTGTGCATGTGCACATGAGTCTGTGCGAGTGTGAGGAGTGTGTGCACATGCGTGTGTCTGTGCTGTGTGTGTACATGCCTGCATTTCTGTGCACGTGTGCCTGTGTGTGAGTCCATGTGTTTGCATAGGCTGTGAGTTCATGTGTGTTTCTGTGTGTGCATATGTGTGTCTGTGACTTTGTGTATGAGTTTGTGCACTTGTGTGTGAGTTGGTGTGCATATGTGTGCATCTGTGCTTGTATGTTTCTTAGTTTGGTGCATGTCTTTGAGTCTTTGTATGTGGTCTGTGAATTTGTGTGTGTGCATGCATCCATGAGTTTCTGTGTATTTCTGTATGCATCTGTGTGTTTCTCTGAGTTTGTGCGTGCTGTGTGTATGAGTCTTGAGTGTGTTCCTGTGCTTTGTGTGCATGTACATGTGTGAGTGTGTGTGAGTCTGAATGAGTTTCTGGGCTTTGTGTGCATGCCTGTGTGTCTGTGGTGTGTGTGCATGCCTGTGTGTCTGTGGTGTGTGTGCGTGCTTGTGTGTCTGTGGTGTGTGAATGTGTGTGAGTGAGTTTGAGTGTATTTCTGTAGTTTGTGTGTGTCTGTGGTTTGTGTGTGTGAATGTGTGAGTGTGAGTGTATGAATCTGTGTTTGTGATTTGAGTGTGTGTGTGTGTCTGTGTTTCTGTGGTTTGTGTGTGTGCATGGGTATCTGTGTGTATGAATCTGATGTGTTTCTGTTTTGCATGCATATGCTCTGTGGTTTTTGTGTGCATGTGTGAGTGTGTGTGTGTGTGTCTGTGTTTCTGTGGTTTGTGTGTGTCCCTACTTGCAGATAAGAGCGGTTTTTTCTTGCCCGACCCCTGCTCTCTGTGCTGCCCCTGTTGTCTCACGGCAGTCACGGTGGCTTCCAGAACATGGTGCAGAGAGGGCAGCAGAAGCCGTGGCCTGTCTCCCCCGGCTGCGCTGGGGACGCGGCTGCTGTGTCGTCAGCAGTGTGACAGCTGCCGAGAGCTGAGGTGGATCCATAGGACCAGTCACCACCTGCTTTTTCAGTTTGTGTCAAGACCAGGTGTGGAGTTCTGCAAGCGTAACGCGCCTCCGTCAGAGGGCCGCCTGGCGTGTGCTTCCACGCGCTTGGGCAGCGAGGGGCAGCACAGACTTCTAGCTGCTACACCGTCTTTGTGTGCTTAC